CAGGGGAGAAAGAAAGCAGAGAGGACATGGGGCACTCTCTCACTTAGAAAACAGAGAGGACATGGGGCACTCTCTCACTTAGAAAGGGGACTGCTTGGCTGCTCAGGGTATGTAAGGGCTATCACATAACCTGTGAAAATTTCCTTTAATTTAATATATTAAAATACTTCATTTTCCAAAATATATTTTATCCTTATAGCAACCCCCCTTTTGGAAAAGGGTCTTACTGCAGCCCTTGCTGGCACTGGCCAACACTCAGTCTTCCAGCGCTCTTTACAATTACTAGAGAGGTGCAGCTCTGTTGTTGGAGTGTTTGCCTAGAGCACAGAGCCTGAGGTTCCAGTCTCCATTACCTCCAAAAACTGGGTATGGTGGTACATGCTTAATTCTAGCACTAGGATGTGGATAGAGGAGGATATGAAGTTCATAGTCATCTTCCACTAGAAATGGAAGTTTAAAAACACAGTGGGAAACTATTTTAAAAAAAAAGTGAGAGAAAAAAAAAGAGAAAGGAGTACTTTGTTTTACTTAAATAAAAGATTATTTTATATAAGGTCCTTATGATATGAAAAATTGTTTAAAATTACATTTAAGGTGTAAGTGCATGCTTTTAATCCTAGCACTTGGGAGGCAGAAGCAGGAGATCTCTGTGAGTTTGAGGCAGCCATCCAGTGCTACACAGAGAAACCCTGTCTCATTCATAAATAAATAAATAAATATGAATTACATTTGTGTGTATGCATGCACAGGCATGTATGTAGAGGCCAAAGAACACCTTCGCATGTATGTAGAGGCCAAAGAACACCTTCCAAGTGTCGGTCCTGTCCTTTTACCACATGGGTGCCAGGAACTGAAGTCACCGGACTTGGAGGCCAGGGCTTTTTACTGACTGAACTTATTGAGTCATTAAAAGAATGTACATAACTAGCAAGCCTTTAATCCCAACACTCAAAAGCAGAGGCTAGTTCCAGAACAGCCAGGGATACACAGAGATAGTAATTCAAGGTCAAACCAGACAATTTAGCAAGACCCTGTCTCAAAATAAAATGTAAAAGTGGTAAAGTACCTGCCTACCATGTATGGAAACCTAACTACAATTACCAGCATTAACCAGACCTACAAATGAAACCTGAAGAGGAAGCTCTCTGCATGTGATAGACTAAGGCAAGAGGGTTGGGAGTACAAATTACCTGGACCATACTAGTAAAATGGTTACCACTATCATCACCACTAATACTACCACTAGATAATCCAATTTGAAAACAGACAAAATATATGAATATACCCAGCAATGACAAAATATAAACAGCAAATAAGCACGGGACAGGACTGATGGCTCGGAAGTTAAGAGTACTGGTTGTTCTTCCACAGAACTTGGATGCAATTCCCAGCATGCACAGGACAGCTAACAACTATTGGTAACCCAACTTCCAAAATTGTGATACCAACTTCTAGACTCCAACGATACAGCACAGTTGCATAATAGACATTCATGAAGGCAAAAATACCCATACACATAAAACCTTTTTATGTGTAAAAGAAAAAGCATGCATTAACTATTAGCAAAGGTATAAATTAAAACCACAATGAAGGAGCCAGATGGTGGTGGCACATGTCTTTAATCCTAGCACTTAGGAGGCAGAAGCAGGGGGATCTCTGATTTCAAGGCCAACCTCATCTACACGGTAAGTTCCAGGACAGCCAGGGCTATACAGAGACCCCCATCTCGAACTAGCCTTCCCCAACCCTCCCCAAAAAAACCCCACAATGCAGAGGACTTGGTACATGGTTCAGTGGGTCTAGCCTTTCAAGCCTGACCATACAAGTTCCAGCCCCAGAAGCCACAAAAAGCCAGATGCCATGGTCTGCACTTGTAATCCCAGCTCTCCTAAGGCAAACACAGGAGGACTGCCTGGAAACTCCTGGGCCAGATAGCCTGAAATACAGAGAACACACAAAAGACCTGCCTAAGAAAGGGCATGGAAATACTAAATCCAGCTAGTCTTAAAAAAAAAAAAAAAAAAATCTCTTTGTAGATGAGGCTGGCCTTGAACTCACAGTTATCTACCTGCCTCTGCCTCCCTTGGTGCTAGAATTAAAGGTGCATACTGCCACTCCTGGCTTTCTTTTCTTTTTTAGAATTTATTTATTATGTATACACTCTTCTGCCTGCATGTGTGCCTGCATGCCAGAAGAGGGCACCAGATCTCATTATAGATGGTTTTCAGCCACCATGTGGTTGCTGAGAAACTCAGGAACTACGGAAGAGCAGCCAGTGTGCTCTTAATCTCTGAGCCACCTCTCCAGCCCTAAGCCTCGGAGATCCACCTGCTTCTGCCTTTGTGTGCTATAATACCTAGCATTTAAATCACATTGCGGAGCCCAGAATGGCTTCAAAATCAAATCCTATCTTCAGTCTCCAAACTGCTGGGATCACTGACATATGCCATAACAGTAAGTTTAATACCATATTTTCAATGACTATAACATAAGGTAAAAAGATCAGTTTGCAATCAGAATTTCTTAGTCAAAAGTTCCAGTTTTCACACAGTGAATCAGTAGCTAAATAAATCAGTGCAAGTAGCTGAGCAAACATTACATGACCACAATGCCAACAGAATTTTGAGTCTGAGGAATGTCCAGGATACATGGCAAGAAAAACCTGGGGTAGTAACAAACCTGTAACTCCCACCTTTTGAGGTAGAAGCAGAAGGATCAGAAATTCAAGGTCATTCTCTGCTATACAAAGTTCAAGAGCAGTCACGAGCACGCTGTCTCAAAAACATGCATAGGAGCTGGGCAGTGTGGCCGCTTTACTCCCAGCACTCGGGAGGTAAAGGCATGAAAATCTCTGAGTTTGAAGACAGCCTGGTATACAGAGTGAGTTCCAGGACAACCAAAGCTACACAGAGAAACCCTATCTCAAAAAACAAACATATACATATGTACATATGTGTACACACACACACACTCCCATGCAAGCTGGTCAGATGACACACAGAAGAAAAAGGAACATACCACCAAGCCTGATGACCTTCGCTTGACCCCTGAAACCTAGACAGTAGAACAGCAGCAGGCTCAATTCTGACTGAAGTATTCACGCACTTGTTGTTGTTGTCCGTTTCTTCTTCTCTGTTTTGATCACTATTGCCAGGTTGGCCTCAACCTCGGGCAACCCTTCCTGCCTCAGTGTCTGAGTGCTAAGAAATAGGCATGACTCACCACACCTGAATGGCTTCAACCTCCATCTTCTACGACATCTCTTTTTACAAGGCTATGAAGAGACACTCAATATGATAATATAGACTAAATAATTTCTAAGTCACTGCCTGTGACTTTTTTTGAAAAACTTTGAGATCAATCTTTTCTCAAGATGTCACCTAATATGTATAATATATACAGGTTTGTACTAGGAAGTAAAATATTCTACATTTATACAAGTTTGTCAGCTACCATGTTGGATGCGTAATATACTCAAAAGATTGGGGGGGGGGCAGGGGCGGAGAGTGGTTTCTTGAGACAAAGCCTTACACTATAGTCTGACGGGTGGCTTAGAACTCATTATGTAACCCAGGTGGCCTCAAATTATAAGTGCTCACCCTCCAGAATGCTGAGATTACAGACGTGAGGCACCATGCCCAGGTCTGCTGCAGTTAGCAGGACCAATACTAGAATACATCCACCTGGTGAGACCTGTGTAGGTTTATATTTCTACTGCCCACTTCTGAATCTAATTCTACCCTCAACAAGGACAAAACTACACACACGTACTATAAATACCAACCCGGACCCAAAGAAAAGCTTTGTGTGGGCTGCCAGTAGGTTTTCAAAATAAATTATCCTCTAATCTACATCCAGGACAATATAACACAAATTCAAGATATCCACAAGTCTTTAAAATCTGTAACTGCCAAGCTAAGAAACCAGAGTATTAAGTCACAGCTGATAGCAATCAACCAAAACCAAGGTGACACATCCACATTCTCTCTGCAGCTTTAGAGGCAAAATAAATTTTAATGTCCTCAAAACAATCATCTACATCCTATAAAAATGTCTTCTAAGATCTTTGTTGTATGTTCAGGCATCTGTTGACTCCCCAAAAACACATAATCCTCTTTGGTGACATTACCAGTGACCGTGACAACATAGTGTTAGAGCAGAAGACAAAAATCAGAATCAAATATGTAAAGCTGAAAGTGGTCTTTCAGAAACCTAGTACTTTTAATTTTCGAAGTGATGAAACTGGGACTAAAGAGGCCAACTGGTCATTTAACTAGTCAAGAAATTCTAAAAAACAAGAACTTTATCTTTTACTACCTGCCAGCAACACTATATAACATGAAGAAACTCATGTATTCCTCCCCATTTCTATACACACATGCAAATCCTTGCATAACTAGAAAAGCTTATCAAGCCTAACTCAGTTGTGGCAGTTATTGAAGGCAAAGCCCGCTGTAACTTTACAAGTAGTTCAGAAAAAATTTAACCTACTTTAAATTTTGAATGCTGGCCAAGAAAGTTTCCCATCTTAGCCAAGTTGTTAAATCTGTGTCTAAAATGCAAGTCAACCTGCAGCAAGTCTGGCCCTCAAGAAACAAGTCATGCTTTATCCAGACACAGGACTCCAAGTCACACCCTTGTCCCCTGCACTGCTGGCATCCACAGACCAAAGCTTCCGAGTCTTTGCTGTTTTGTTCATTTTTTCAAAGGTGAAACCTGTATACCTACCTGTATCTTGACCATGTGAACCTGACCCCAGTCAAATACCCTCAGAGCTTCAACACCTAGCCCATCCTCAATGAAGCCATTTGGGATAAACTAGAAAGAAACAAACTCACACCACAGAGATATCATTTAAAAATCAAAGTAAATTTTCCCAGGAAGGTCATCGTTAACTTCCAGCTATGAACTGGCAACAGAAACAAATTAAAAGTTTCCCTTTAAGTGGCCTGTATATATACATTCAAGTATCTATTTAAGTTGTACCAAAAACTGCTTACAAATGGCAATTCCTGTGAAGCAGATGATGATGAAGCTCCAGGCAATTCTAGCATGTTTCCTAATGTACTGCTGCTGGAGTCTGGATCATCCTGAAAAGATAAATTTATTGAGTTAAATTGCTCCTCTATGGTAATGTTTGTGTCTCCTAGTGAAACGGGGGCTGGGAGGAGGGCTGTCTTTTCATTGCTTCGGTCCACTTCACTTCTTGGTTTACTCTCCTGTTTTTCGGTGTGAGGCGCTAATGGCAAGAATGGCCGTCTGACCGCACTGTGTCTACTCTCTGCTGTGCGGTCTTGTTCACTTCCCATGGCCACTCCTACACCGTTTTCTGATTTAGGCTCATCACTGCAGGTGGCATTGGTCTGAGTTTCCTCAAAGATCTCCTCTATACTCTCATCCTCTGTGACTGGCTGTTCTGGGTCCATCTCAGAATCTACATCTGCATCGTCCACACAAGTAAAATTCTCAAAGTGCAGAAAGCCATTCTTGGTCGTCTCTGTCACTCTTAACTGGAGTTCGGGGGAGTTATTACAAGAGGACTCCTGTTTCAGAGCAAGTGCTGCTGGACCACCAGGACTCAAGGAAGTGCAAACATTTGGCGACTGAGCTCTTGAATCACTTTTTGCAGGGTCTTGAAAGGACTCTGATCCATCAGCAGACCCACTTAAATACTCTACATTGATCATGGAGGCCAGATCCTGTAGTCTCCGCAGTGGAATGTAACAAGACGGAGAATCTTGTCCATAAGCATTTTGGGATGTTCCACTGGCAGTCGGGAACTGCATAGTACACCCATTAAGTGGCTCAGAGACATTGGATTGACCATTACCGAATGGGCCGTCCTTGTCTTCGGGGGCATCTAGGTCCACTGGCTTAGAAAAGGACAGCAGGCAATTTCTTCTAGATAGTTCACAAGTCTGATCCATACTGTGCCCGCATCAACCTGAAATCCAAGAGACACAGCAATTAATCTGAGTTAACAGACCGTCTGGCTCTTCTCTTCAAAATGGCAGCCACTTCTGGAGGCCTAGTGGCCTTTCTGCTGCACTTCCAAGGACGGAAAAAGTTCTCCAGGCTGACACAGGAAAATGGCCTCAGTGGGTCTCCGAGGACTACATCTTCCCGGAGCTGGGTAAATCCTGCCACATGGAAGCAGCCCGTTCCTCTTCCTTGCACTGCAGACTGGTGGACTCCGGGGCTGAACTAAAATTAAAGCCCTTTGGCAGTCGAAATTCCCAGCTCTCGAACGACAGCCCTTCCCTACCGCTCCCCACGCCCAAGGTCCGACAGCCAAAGCTCTTGAAAGGGAAGGGGCTGCGGGTTTCGGGGACAGCTTCTGGACGCTGCACAAAAAGGTGTTCCCTCCTCCTCCTCCGCAAGCTGGGCGCAGCGGTCACAATAGCGCTGCACCCCGCGCCCCGCCGGCGCCCGAGCCTTTGCAGCTACCGTGCGCAGGCCTCGAGCCAGTTAGCCGAGGCGGGTGCGCCCGGAGCTCGCCTTCCCGACGGCAAACACAGCGGGGTTCGGCGCTGCAAGGGCCGCGAGGCCGGGCACGGTCCCGGGAGGGCACCCGAGGCGGCCCGCGAAGCCCAGCCCGGGGAGCAGCAGCTGCTACAGCTTGACAAACATGGCTGCTGCCGCCGCTGCTGCCGCCGCCGCCGCCGCCGCCGCCTGCCCGGGCCGCGCTCCTTCCCGCAGCCGCGGCAGCACCGCCCCGCAGCGCCGCCGGCGCCCGTCGCCACTCGGCCGCCGGCAAAGTTTGCTGCGGGAGGGAGGGCGGCCGCCCCCGCGGCCCCCAGCCAGATACCTGGGGGCGAGCCGGGGCCGCGGGGCGCGCGGGGCGGCGATGCTCCGGCCGCCGCGCCGGGAGGAAGTTCGCCGCAGCCCGGCCTGGCGAGGCCCGAGGCCCGCCGGCAGGGATGGAGGCGGGGGAGGGGGCCGCGGCTGCAGCAGCAGCGCCGCCCGCCCGGATCGGCCCCGTCCCTCACCTCACGGCCACCACCATCTTCCCGGCCCGGCCGTCTCCCCCTCCCCCGCCCGCCCCTGCGAGCTAGTTACCGTGCCCCGCGCCCCCTCCCGGGCCAGCTGGGGGAGGGGGACCCTCATCACACCGGGGCGCGAGCGGAGCCGAGGCCAGCGCGGGGAGCCGCTCGCCGCGGCCCCCGCCCCCCCTCGTGTCTCTCCGGGCGAGGAGGCAGCGAACGCGACCTGCCCCGGCCTAGTCCTCCGAGTCCTCCTCCTCCTCCTCCTCCGAGTCCTCCTCCTCACACCCCCGCCGGGCGCGCCCCCGCTCCCGGCGCGTGCTCCGAGAGCGCGCCGCGCGCCGGTCCGCGTGCGGCAGGTGTCTTCATGTTGCTACCTGAAGACATGA